AGCATCTCACATGCCGTGTTCTGCTACAATCCTAGCTAGGTAAAGGCGTCCGTATTACCTTTCCCTCTGCCCCCCGTCGCTGTGTCGGTGGGACTGCACTTCCCAGTCACCTGTCAGAACAGCATTCCTTCTTGGCTGTCCTTTGCCCTGTGCCTCCACATTCCTTCTTAAAGAATTGAGGTGCATGGGCCCTGGCTGGGTGGTTCGGTTGGTTAGAGCATCGTCCCCATATGCCAAGGTTGCGGGTTTGATCCCCAGTCAGGGCACATACAAGAAGCAACCAGTGATGCATTAGTAAGTGGGACAACAAATCAATGCCCCTTCTCCCCCTCCCTCTTTCCCTCTCTCTGTCTAAAAAATCAGTTAAAAAAATTGAGATATAAGTCATATAACATGTTAAAGTGACCAAAACAATGCCCTTTCCTTTTCTGGCCTTTGCGTTTTTGTTGTTAATTTTTGAGAGAGGGGGAAGGTTGTGGTAAAATTTGTCTGATTGTTGAAAATTGTACGGCCTGTTAATTAGTGGAGTGTTTGATTGTGTGTGTATAATCATGTTGTCTGTGGTCCACAGGGAGGGTACTTTTATGACTTGATCAGGTGGTGGAGATGGGAAACAAGGTCGTTACATGAAGATCACATGGTAAGCTCTGTGACAGCAGTTCAATCTCTGTGACCTAGAGTCTTTTTAAGGCATGCTTTAGAATCTTACCGGTTCTGGTTTAATCTTTGTCTTATAAAATGTTCAGTGTATTCATGGTTTCTATTCCTGTCTTGGTGTTAGTTGGTCTATTTTTATTGTGGCAGAAGTGTCCAATCCTTTCTGTATTTGTGGGTTTAAGAAGTTCCTTTGCCTGCTGCTCCAGACAGCCCCCTTAGTTATATTCTTTAAAAAAAAAAAAAAAATGTTTGCCTGGCCGGGCGTGGCTCAGCGGTTGCGCATCGACCTGGGATCCAGGTGATCGGGGTTCGATTCCTAGTCGGGCACATGCCCGAGTTGTGGGCTCAGTCGATCAATGACTCTCTCATCATTGATATTTCTATTTCTCTCTCTCTTTCCTCTCTCTGAAATCAATAAAGATATACTTAAAAAAATTTTTTTCTTACTGATATCAGAGAGAGGAAGGGAGAAGGAGAGAGAGAGAAACATCAATGATGAGAATCATTGATCGGCTGCGTCCTACATGTCCCCTACTGGGGATCAAGCCTCAAACTCAGGCATGTGTCCTGACTGAGAATCAAACCGTGATCTCCTGAGTCATAGGTCAGTGCTCAACCACTGAGCCATACTGGCCAGACGGGGCCAGGTTATTCTGTTTTCTTATTGGTGAACTATGAGAGGCCCGGGGTGTGCGCTTCCGAGTGCACCCGTGCAGGGTAGTGTGGTTACTGAGTCAGAGGCCCCGAGCTGGGCTGGGCGGAGAGAGCATGGATTCTGTTCCTCTTCTGGGCCCAGGGAGCCCAAGTCCCTTTGACTGTCGCCCTGTCATTACAGTGGGCACTGACCAAACTGCCTACAGACTTTTTTTGTTCTTATTAAACAGTATGTATATGAAGATGACGTGAATTGTTAATATATATCACGTATATGCTTTTTGTTTGCTTGTTTTTTGTGTTTTGTTTGGTTAATCCTCACCTGAGGATATTTTTCCATTGCTGTTTAGAGAGAGTGGAAGGGAGAGAGAGAAACACATCGATGTGCGAGAAATACATTGATTGGTTGCCTCCCACACGTGCCCTGACCACAGGGGCCGGGGATGGAGCCTGCAACCGAGGTACGTGCCCTTGGCTGAAATCGAACCTGGGACCCTTCAGTCCGTGGACCGACGCTCTAACCACTTAGAAAACCGGCCAGGGCTGAGGATGTTTTTTCCATTGATTTTTAGAGAGGGAGGGAAGGAGGGAGAGACAGACAGATGGATACCGAACCAATTGTCTTGCAGAGTAGTGAGTTCTGTGTTCTAGGAAGTGTGTCTCAGACCTTGAGCAGTCATGTATCAGGAAGGTTCCAGATTCCTAGCTTCATGGTGGGAGACTGTGCTGATTACTGAGTGACCACTGAGCTTAGTGCCTCACCCACAGTCTCCATGCTCATTGCAGCCTGGTGAGGGAGTTTTGCTAGTCACAAAGACCCAAGGAAGTTGGGGGTCCTTTCTGCCCCCAAGATGGCCAGTGATGGAGCCAGGCTCTGCACTGGGTCACTCTGGATCCAGAGTCCTCGCTTCCACAGCACCCACCATCTCATTTCTCAAAATCCCCTAGCATTTGAATTTCCACTAATTTTCTTTTAAGAGGAAGGGAAAATAATATAAAACTGCCTTAAGGGGCTCTTGTTTTTGATTGTGCATCTCGGTATCATTTCTATCTGTTACTCTTGTCTGCTGTCCTACGGTTAGAGCCTTTACAAGAGTAGTTATGGAGCCCTTAAGGAATTGAATTGAGTTTCTTTTTCTTTTTTTTAATATATCTTTATTGATTTCAGAGAGAGAGAAGGAGAGGGAGAGATAGAAACATCAGTGATGAGAGAGTTGTCATTGATCGGCTGCCTCCTGCACGGCCCTGACTGGGAATCGAGCCTCGATCTCCTGGATCCTAGGTGCGTGCTCAACCACTGAGCCACGCCCTTGAATTGAGCCAGCAGTGAATTGAGTTTCTTTAAATTGAGTTTCTTTAAATTCATTTGCCTAATTGAGGCATGCCCTCAAAGCAATTGCCTATCTCATTTTGCTTTGATTTTTTTTCTGCACATAAGTCCTACCTTTTATGGTTTTCCTACTGCTATTTAAACCCTCTGTCCCTCCCTATTTTTTCTTTTAATGAACAGAACTGCCCTCTCTCCCCTTCTCAGCCACCACTGTACTGTAGAGGTAAGACATTGACCGTCTGTATAACTGGGTCAGATTTACTCTGACGTAGATGTAACTTACTGCCCTTTCACACCCCCAGAGCTTTTATTTCCCAGGGCTGACACCTCCCCTTTCCATTGCCCTGGGTTTGCTATTGTTGGAAAAGACTAAGAAGTTGCTGGCCAGGTGTTTGGCTTTCTCAGGAGAGGAAAGGATCCTTACGCTCGCTGAGGCCTGGGGAGTAAGTGCAGTGTATCGCTGATGGATTGTTCTCGCTGTTGTCACCCAGTGCCCTCTGCCCTTCCCTGACCACGGCCCTCCCTCTCCACCCTCACCTCCAGAGTACAGGTGTCCTGTGCCCTCAGTCCCCCTCCTTTTCTAGTCTTGTCCTGTGCCAGCTCACCCTGCTGTACCTGCTCACAGCAGTGCGCGCTTTCCAGTTCCCCCTCAGCCCCTCTTGCCCCCTTGGCTGGCAGTGCCCTCTGCATTTGATAAGGCTGGTGTCCCTCTGCAGTCTGAGTGCCCACTGTCCCCTCAACCCCCCTCCCCCATATCCCACCATGGAGGTCCTGTCACTGTGCCTTCAGCTCTTGGTGCACGGGGCTTTAGCTTGCTCTTCTGCGGCCCGTATGTCCCCGGGGGTGAGGCCCTGGCCAGAGTACGTCTAGTAAACCCTATACTGTCTGGGAAATTGTACTTAAGTAGTTCCTTGCCAGAGGTGGGGAAGGACGCCTGCAGTTTCATTTCCTTTTTGCTCTGGGGAGCCCCGCTAAAGGTTCCTCCTCTTCACGCTGGGAACTGCAGGCAGTGCTCAGACCAGCACATTGGACGCCGGTCCTCAGTCAGCATGTGTGAACTTAGCAGAGACCCTGTGACAGGCTGCGAGTGTGCAGAACAGGACAGGTGAGGCCAGCTGTCCTGGAGTTGGCAGTGCCACTGAGAACCCTGAGCTCAGGACAGCATCCCACATGGGCCCTGCCACCGTCTCCTTCTCTTTCTTTTTTAAAATTTATTGATTTTAGAGAGAGAGGAAAAGGGAGAGAGAAACATAGCCTTATCCCACTTATTTATGCACTAGCTGGTTCTTGTGTGTGTCCTGACTGGGGATGGAACCCCAACCTTGGTGTATCAGGATGACTCTAACCAACTGAGCTACCCAGCCAGGGCCATCCCTTCTTCTAAGTAGAGCTTATGTTCAAGGGGGTGTAAGACTGGACGAGAGCAGCATGGTTCAGGTGGTGGAAGCGCCGTGAAGGAAGTCACCCGACACATCGCCCGACTTCATCCCCGTCACTCTCCTGAACAGGCTTTCTTCTCTCCACCTTAATTCTGCAGTTAGATACATACCCAAAACCAGAGAAGGCAGTAAAAGATCTATTACTCAGGCTCAGCAGTCATCCCCATTCTGCTGACACTGTTTTATATGCCACTTCCCTTCCCTTCTCTCTCACTGCTGGATTTCAAATCTGTTCTGATAGTCCTGTGCCCTTGACTGGGTGACCCCAGTGGGCATGCTGGGCCCTCTTCCTCCTGAGTTTTTTTTTTTTTTTTTTTAAATTGATTTTAGAGAGGAAGGGGGAGAGAGAGAAACATTCATTGGTTGCCCCCCACATGCACCTTGATTACAGACCGAATCCACAACCTGGGCATGCACCCTGGCCGGGAATTCAGCCAGCAACCTTTTGGTGCACAGGATGATGCCCAACCACCTGAGCCACACTGGCCAGGGCCCTCCTGAGTCTTTACAGCACGGGTCGTCTCTTGTCACTCTCCCACTTCAGACGCCTGGTCCTTCTCTCACGCCTCTGGTTGCTCGTGTTCCTTTGCTGGTTTCCTTTCTTCTTCCAGCTGTGACCACTCTCAGGGCATTGTCTGGTAAACAAGTCACTAAGAATTTACTGTCCCTCCTGCATTTCATTCAGGAAAAATAAAGCTTGCAAGTGTTCAGAGAAATTTTTGTTCACTGAGGCTGTGTGTTTTGGAAATGGCATTTGGATGTTTTGTTGCTTTTAATCTTTGGCATTAATTTCAATTGCTGTCATTCTTTCCATAAAAAAATTCAGACATAAGCCAGAAAAGTAATCAAATTGGCCTGCAAAGGAAAAACAGAAAAGTATAGAGTATTAAATCAAACACACAAACTTGTATTCGCCTACAAAAATATTGACTTAAAAGCCTTTGCACGTGCATCTTATTAAAGATGTAACCTAAGTTAAACCTGCAACAAGCCGTCTGATTTTTGCCTGTTTCCGTTTCAGAATGTATGACAACATGTCCACAATGGTGTGTGTGAAGGAAGACCGGCTGGAGAAGCTTACGCAGGATGAAATCATTTCTAAGACAAAGCAAGTGATTCAGGGGCTGGAAGCGCTGAAGAATGAGCACAATTCCATTCTACAGAGTTTGCTCGAGACACTGAAGTGTCTGCAGAAAGATGACGAAAGTAACCTGGTGGAGGAGAAATCGAACATGATCCGGAAGTCGCTGGAGATGTTGGAGCTTGGCCTGAGTGAGGCACAGGTATGAGGAGAGCCTCCAACAGGAGCGTGAACCTGACGGCCGGGAGCCGCGGAGGCTCGGGTGCATATGCAGTCTCACCGCACTAGGGTGCGGATACTAGTGGAATGACTGAGGTCACACATATGCGGGTGGTGTATGTCTGTCATGTCATATGAAGGACGGTTGATTGGGGCATGTCTAAATTTTAAAAAACAGAGCCAACACCTGTGTCCTTAAGAACTGGATTTTTTTAAAAAAAATATGTTTTTATTGATTTCAGAGAGAGGAAGGGAGAGGGAGAGATAGAAACATCCATGAGAGAGAGTCATTGATCACTGCCTCCTGCCATCCCCCTAGTGGGGATGGAGCAACCCAGGTGTGTTCCCTGACCAGGAATCGAACTGTGACCTCCTGGTTCATAGGTTGATGCTCAACCACAGCCACACAGGCCAGGCCAGCACTAGATTTGGCTGCACACACCAAAACCCAAAAACAGTGGCTTATCTAATCATAGACTGTAAAACAAACACCAGGGTAGCTGTCTCAGTCAGGGTCTGCAGCTGCATGGTCGTCAGGGACGCCCACGCCCTGCCACCTCTACTCCCCAGGCAGCCTGTCTCCTGGACCAAGACAGCTACAGCTACAGCTACAGCTACAGCCATGTGACTCTGTTCTAGCACAGGGAAGGGACAGGAAGGGTGGTGCCTCCTCCCTTTACTTCCTCCAACTTGTGCCTAGCACTCTGCTTACACTTCCTTGGCAGAACTCGGTTCCATGGCCACACCTAGTGTGGGGGAGGCTGGGCAGTGTCGTCTTGCCCTCTTAAAGTGCCAGGTTCTGAAGCCTAAGGAGGAAGGGAGAATGGATATTGGCTGGCAGCTAATGGCCTCTAGAGCAACTTCCAAGACAAGATTGCTGTGTAGACTTGACTGGACCTTTGTTTCTGTCTGTCATGCCAGCATAGAGATGGAAAACTGGGAAACACCCAGGTGTCCCCTCACCCCATAACTTTTGGCTCTGCCAGCATACTTTGGGTAAAGTTAAATACACTAAAAATGGGCTCCTTTCTTCCTTAGCTTTCCTTTTGTCAGTGAGGAATGAAGCAGCAGTTCCTGCTGCCATGGAGGACTCACTCCACCCAAAGTGCACAAATCCTCATGTTAGAGCCCTTCACGCTAGGCCCGTTACAGATGCCAGGGAGAACTTTAACTTTGTTCAGTTATTGAGAATCTGTTATTTTGCAAGTTTTCTTAAAAAGCGATATGAATATGAACTTCCTTGTTAGTTTGGCAGATATTAGGGTTAAAAAGGAAGAAGCAGCCACACCTTCTGGAGTTTCAGGTCTTAAACCTAGGAGGGTAAGGAAGAGGGCAGGGCAGGTATGAGGTCTAAAGAGAACAGACGGAAGCCAGCTTTCCCCAGCTCTTTCTCTCCTACACTCCCAGGAACATGTAGCCAGTGTGTCTGTGAAGTGGCTCAGGGCCCCGCAGGCAGAGTCCTGGGGCAGCACTGTGTTTAGGACCCAGACCTTCACTGATGAGGGCATTAGAGCCTTCTGATCCTTGATGCTGGCTACAAAGATTTCCTCCCTTCCCTTGGAACCTGGAAGATCTGCCTGCCCTCCACCCTTGACACCATCCTCCACCCCTCCCACAGTGATCTGTACTCTGCGCATATTTGTGTGCATGTGCACACTCACGTGGGGGGAAGGGCCTGTGAGAAACTGCGTTGGAGCTGTCTAGATGGAAAATAAAAACACAGTTTTATCAGAAGAGTAGCTGTGTATCAATTGCTAGTCCATTTGAGATGCTCTGTTTTTTGTCACTGTTCTGGGTGTGTGATATATATATATTTTTAAACATATCTATTGATTTCAAAGAGAGGAAGGGAAAGGTAGAGAGAGAGAGACACATCAATGATGAGAGTCATTGATTGGCTGCCTCCTGCACACCCCCTACTGAGGATTAAGCCCGCAACCTGGGCATGTGCCCTGGCTGGGAATCGAACCACAATCTCCTGGATCCTAGGTTGCTGCTCAACCGCTGAGCCACGCCTGGCTGGGCGGCATGTGATATTCTTTATTGTGGCCTGTGTGTGGCCTGTGACTGAGGGTGGAAATAGGAGTGAATGGCCAGGTGTACTTCCATGTGCTTGGGAGAAGGAGTCTGCAGGTGGAAGCCACAGCACGATGCCTGCGTGGGGGGGGCCATGTTTGTTGCTGCAGCGCGCTCTGCTGTCTGTCTGTGCAGGTCATGATGGCTCTGTCCAACCACTTGAATGCCGTGGAGTCAGAGAAGCAGAAGCTGCGTGCGCAGGTCCGCCGTCTGTGCCAGGAGAACCAGTGGTTGCGCGACGAGCTGGCCAACACGCAGCAGAAGCTGCAGAAGAGCGAGCAGTCTGTGGCCCAGCTGGAGGAAGAGAAGAAACATCTGGAATTCATGAATCAGCTGAAAAAATATGATGATGACATTTCTCCATCTGTAAGCTCTGTAGGGGCGCAGTGTTGACATTCCCTTGGGATGTTGGGAGGTGGCGTCAGCACAGAGCCAGGGTCTCCTCTCCCCTCGTGGGGTTGCATTTAGCAAGAGCAAGGGTTGTGGTCCTGGGACTGAGCCCCTGGGCAAGTCATAGAAGTTCTTTCTTTTTTAAAATTTTTATTGATTTTTTTTTTTTTTTTCAGAGAGAGATAAAGAGGAAGGGAGAGGGAAGGGAAAGAGAAACATTGATGTGAGAGCAAAACATTGATCAGCTGCCTCCTTGCATGCCCCCTGCCAGGGATTGAGCCCACAACCCGGGCACGTGCCCTGGTCAGGAATCGAACCAGCAGCCCTTAGGGGCACAGGACGATACTCCAACCGACTGAACCACATTGGCTAGGGCCATAGAGGTTCTCTTTGCTGTATTCTTTTTATGCATGTTTTTTAGAAGAATGGTCAGGAAATGTAAGAATACTGTAGCTATGAGGTCCACAGCAGAGAGGCCCCCTTACCTCCCATGAGGTCTGCCCCGGCTGGAGGTCTACATGCCCTCACCCATTGCCGTGTGGAGTCTGTGCCCATTCATGCTGCTGGAACCCTTTCCTTCAGGTCCCCAGTGCCTGGTCCAGTCACCTGTAATCCAGAGTCAGGACTGACTATCGAGTGGTGCTGTGGTCTCAGCTTTCTCCGTGGAACCCTTCCCTGCCCAGGACACTACCTGGTTCTCCTGCTGCCTTGCTCCTACCTGCCTCGTGGCCTCTCCTGCCAGCTCACCTTGTGGTTTCTGGAATATTAGGGTCCCCAAGGGTCTCGGGTTTCCCCTTTTTCCTTCTTTTTTTGGCTGTTTTTGGAGCTTGTTTTTTGTGTACTGTTGGTGGTTCTTCGTTTACTGTTTATTTCTGATTCAGTTTAACAAAATCAACCTTTTAAATTTTAGATTCATGGAGAAGTTGAAAAGATAGTAAAGAGAATTCCCATAATCCTTTACCAAGTTCCCCCTAATGTTAGATTTTACATCCCCACAGCGCAGGGGTCGGGACCTTTTTCTGCCAAGGGCCCTTTGGGAATTTACAACGCCAGATACTGCACTTCCCCTTGGTCATGTTGCGTCTGGAGCAGGTCCTTCCAGTGAAGGGAAAGGTCTTCCAGGACATTGGTATCTTGGAGGAACGGGCTAGTCACTTTGTAGGTCATTCCTCAGTTTGGGTTTGTCTAAGTTTCTCTGTGAGGATGTTGGAATTGTGTATCCCGGACAGGACTCTTAGAGCAGTGACATGTCCTTCTCACGTGATCCCTTCTAGGGCCTCTTCCTCACCTGGTCACACTGTCGTCTGTTCCCCACTGTGGTCCCTGTTTAATCTGCGCTCACCACTGAGTCACAGACTCTACCTCTGGGCGGTGGCCCCGTACTCCTGGGGCCTGTGGTGGAGGCCCATCCCTCCGGGTCTGCGGAGCGCAGAGATGTGCCGTTTTCATGTCTTTACATGTTTAGTTTTCAAGTAAAATTTATATCGAGTTTTCCTGCTCTGTTTGGACTTACTCAGAACCCAGGTGAATTGTGGGTAATCCTGTATTTGATTTTAAAAATGGACCATCTTTTCTAAGGTTTTTAAAATGGAACCAAAGTTTATATCAAAGGTTTTATAGCACTTGTAAGACCAAGATTGCTCTGGGTTGGTTTCTAGGAGGACAAGGACACTGATTCCACCAAAGAACCTCTGGATGACCTTTTTCCCAACGATGATGACGACCCGGGTCAGGGAAGTAAGTGGGGGTAGTGGTTAGGTGTCTGAATGCAGGCAGAGGGGAGGTGGTTCATTCCTGTGGGACGTCACTGGGGTGACACATGGGCGTGTTCAAGGCGCAGCCTGCCTCCCAGGAGCACGTGCACACTTGGGTCACCACCTGTTTTCCCAAAGAATTTCAGATAGTTTTCTTTTCTTGTTGGGCTGTAGTGATGAGTTAGACAGCCCCTGGTAACCAGGGCTGTGCACAAACAGTTCAGCTGAGGTCCCCATTATTCTGGAGTGAAAAGGCAGGGCTAGCTTTCCTGGTGCCGAGCACAGGCTCACTGCACTGTGTGTGTG